AGAATTAGATGAATTTGGGCTCAACTTGCTCAAGGCAAAGCTTGTTTTTTTCTCTAGCAAATTAGTTCCCCTCATTCTCCCTCCTCCTGTTTCTGATTTCCGACTTTCTAACCCGTTCTTATTCTTTCCAATTTCTCCTCAGCATGGCAACCTGTGTGGAGAAAGGTAGGAGAAAGTAGAGCTTGCTGTGTGAGAAGACAACTCGGATTTAGCAAAAAGGCAGGGTGGAAGCATGGGGCAGTATTGCTAGTTAGGGGCTAATGAGCAGAAACAGACCAATTCCTGCTCTGGGAATGCTGGATTTCTGTCAGTGGGAGCAGATCTGTAGCCCCACCTGGAGGCATTACTCAGGGACTAGCTGCCACAGTGTGCCACAGCACAACAAGGACTAACAGAAACCCCAGAATCTCTTTGTCTAAGCTTCCCTGGCCTAAAAATTCTGGGACCTTAGCTTTGGCTTTGCGTTGTGAGCCCAACTTCTTGCAGTGGACTAAATAATGGGGGATGAAAGATCAGTTGCCTCAGGTGAAGTGCTGCTCCAAGCTCTATTTATGCAGATAATGAGGGAGGATTTGAGGGACTGAAGCAGGACGAGATGGTGCTGGAAGGCCCCTCTGCTTATTGGTTTTATGAAACTCTACATTAAACAAGTGAGCTGCTGCTTTTTCTCTCTCCCCGTGCCCTCCTTTTATTGCTCGCAGACATACCTTGTTTCTATTACATTTACAACTTGGACGTTTTCTATAGAAAATGGGTCAGGCAAGACGACAATTACATTTAATAGAAGAATCATTGGAAACGTTTCCATTGAAAGTAAGCTGCAGCTCAAGTTTTAAGCCTACTGCGAGGTGGATCCTAATCTCACCTTGCTGCAGGGAAATTGGAAATCCTTTAGGAGGCAAAGGAGTCAACGGGCACCATGAGAACTGAGGCCAGCGTGTCCCAAAATGGAGCTCGCCTCAGATGAAGGAAACAAAATAAGTGCTTGTTACAGTTAAGGAAAAAAATGTATACTGTTGAGAAGGATAAGTTTTAAACAGGAGATGATGGGCAATATTTCTGAAAGGCATACATCTTCTTAATTAAAAGCTCTTCAAGAGCTGTTAGAGGTTTGTCAGAGCAGGAGGAATGTGCCTGGTATTCAGGTTCAGGAGCTTGTGAATGTGCCTGGAATTCAGGTTCAGGAGCTTGTATGCAAGTCTGCCAGGGTTCTGCTTCAATTTAAATAGTATATCTGTATCAATTAGTTGCAATGTGATTTATATTGATGAATGATACTTGCAATAATGTGTTGTCTTCTGAGTTTTCTCCACTGTAGTTGTATTTTCTTTCATTCTTGCTATACTGAAAAGCTGTGGTTTTTTTTTTAACCATCAGTAATTTTAAAACAGTTATGTAAATAAAAGTACTGCAAACCAGAAAGTGCAGCAAGGGGAGAAGAAATTAGGTGATATTTTCCATTTTTCTCCTTAATTCAGCAGATGTTAAAATTGTTGCAAGGAATATGAAACATCTGGAATATTTCTGTCTAGTCATATGCAGCTACTAAAAAATCTGCTTTTGAAAAACCTCTTCAGCATGATTTCATCTAAGCTGATTTCCCATATCCTTCCTAAGCTATTTACTTTCCTTAAAAAATATATCTGGTTTTGTATTCCAGCATGATTTTTACCAGGGATTTTTGCAAGTTAGTAGCAGGCGATCTAACAAATTGATCATCTTGTGCCTTTAAAGAAAGCGCAAGATGGAGAGTGCGGCATCCAACTAGAACAGAAAAGTCAAAACAGCCAAGGTAGCTCTGGGCATTGCCGGGCACCTCGGTGTGTGACTCCTGCCCAGCTCTCCCGCGCTCGGGCTCGGGCTGCAGGGAGCTCCGGCACCTGCGGCCGCCCGTGGGACGGTGCCTCTGCTCGGGGGGTGCCCCCCGCACCCCTCTCCTAGGGCAGGGGAGATGCTGCGCTGAGCGCAAAAGCATCAAGAGCTCTGCAATGTGTCAGCCGGTTAGCTGCAAAAATGTTAGATTTGCTTTCGAAATAACAGCTGGGATGCTCGTGAAGAAGCTGCAGCGAGGCAGTGTCAGAGTGGGATTATTTGTCAGAGACCATTTCCAACAAAACTGTTTCTTGGTTTTTTTTTTTTTTTTTTTTGCTTCTGCAATTTCTGAGATTGTGACATAATGAATAAATACAATTTTCTAAGGTCTGTGCATATATGGATGAGTCTCTTACCTGAAAAATGCCATATGACTAATAAATTGCATGGTTCGTGATATAGGAAGGCTAAGATTTCTGTCTATAGAAGTAAAGATTTTGTTAAATATACAACAGATTTTTGCTTTCTGTCAAAAATAAAGAATAGAATATTATTGGCTTTTGAGGAAGACTAACTTCCTTTTCTGCCACATTTCATGATATCAGCCTTTTAAAATTTGTGACACAGAGCATAGCTCCAGATATATTTAGTGCAGTAGTTAGCAGAATCTAATGCATTTTGTCAGAAAACTGAATCTCTTCATTTCGGTGTGTGAAGTGATTATGTGCGAGTGAATCTGCTCAGACTACCCAGATGCAGATGGAAGTGGAAACATCAGATTAAAACGAGAGCATTATTTCTCCAAACAATTATTCCGAAAACATTTGAGAGAAGCCACTTCACAGCCAAAGCATATGCTTAACTTCAATAAGTACTAGTTTTCAAGCTTATTAAGATTCATCTAATCATCCTGTCTTAAGTTGGCACTTCTGATTACAACAGTAATTTGTTCCTGGTGTTGATCTCAAGTACTATAGACTAGCTCTGCAGAAACAGCTTCCAGTTAAGGACTGGGTTCTTTCTTGTGTCGCTGTAGCCTGCCATTGATTTGTTTGTGGCATTTTTTTGTTTTGTTTTTGACAGAAGGCTTCAAGAATCTAATACAAAGGATATGTAAAAAATAGAATAAAATGTGCCAAATAAATGGAGTGAGCAATTAACAAAGGATAGCAGGATGTTAAAATTTCTAAACTCAGTTTCCACATGATTATTTTTCACAGGACTGTATGGTAAAAGAAAGTGTTGCTTTAAATCAGGGTGAAACTTTTTATCTTCTGTTTCAGAAATTAATTTACATAATATTGAAACATGGAAATCAAACCCTGATTTAACCAATATTACAAAAAAAAAAGAGAATGTAGCTGGTGAAGTAATACTATATTAAATAATACTAAAGGTGAGTTTACATTATGAACGAAAAAAGGTATCAAACTACAGCAATCAATGTTGTAGACAATATCTCTTAAATCTATCATGCTGCCTTTTGCCCTTTATAATATGAAGTCAGAAGGAAACAGCTATAATGAATGAGCGTGTCTCTATTCGTGTTGGCTTTGGTTCTGTAGGAAACCTGGCAATGTGACATTTAGTGTGATTAATTCTGGATCAAGGCTCAGGTTTATATTTTCCCACATACATGCATAAAGAGGTGTTATTAATAAAAATAATTTTACAAAATCCAATACAAAGAAAGACTATTTCTAAAAGTACACTGCAAGGTAGACTCAAAAGCAAAAGAGTGAGTATTTCCAGGAGGAAATATCTGCTTATGTTTTGCAATGTCTTTTTTTTTTCCCCTTTAACAATACAGTTTACAAAGTGAAAATGATTAGAAAAGTGCATGCAAAGTTGGCTTGCTTATGTATAGCATCTTTTAAAAGATTTAAATGATTTGCTAAGTTAGAAATAATTCAGAGCCGATGCAAAAACCAGAGCATACCGTAAAGTCTGCTGCATGAGAAACTTGGCCAAGATTTTTTCACATGTCACATCAGAAGAGGGCACTAGTGATCCATTAAAAGTAGGCAGTGTGACACTGCTTTTGTTTTGCCATATTTAATAATAATAATAATAATGATAAAATTTCCACACTTAATATTGAGGGCATTTGTGTGCATAATTAAGATTATAAATATATAATGGTAATTCCAAAAGTTAAATAATTAATAGATTGTATGTAAATATAATCTGTTGTCTCTCATTGTCTTTTTATATTATTATTGAAATACTGTGGTTACAGTTCACATCCTAGCTGTAACAATGAGCTAATGTGGATTATTTAATACCTTGTTTTGGTAATTTGTAACATTAAGGAGGTGAATTCTATTTGTTCAGTCTTTTGATAAGGAAAGTTAAATATGTTGCAGAAAACGCAGAAATTCAGGCTTCCCTGTTTAAAAACTAAGATATTTACATATGTTGTGATTTAAATTATTTTACAGCTAGTGCAACAAAGAAAATATTTTAAGTATTCATCTAATTTTTTTATTGTGTACATTAGATTAAGGATGGGGGAGAAATATGTTGTACCATGATGCCTCCTTTCTTTTCCTTGTTGGCTTATTCGCTCCTCTGCATTTTAGCAGTTTTGTTAGAATTGCTTTGGCCTATAAACTGAGGTCAAGATGAGGTGGCTGCTCCATTTCACAGAATCAACTTTGGTATGTGAGCTATGTGAGCAAGGAAAAAAAGAGATGAACAATAATATGGTTTCTATCCTTTGTCCTCGTTTTCTTGCTGTGTATAGGATAAAAACTGGCAGCATGCATAAAACTGCGAAAGACTTAAGTCAGTCTTAGTAACAGCAAGAAAAAAAACAGCTGAATTCTTGATTTGGATGTTGCTGAGCGATGCTGTATTGTTACAAAATACCTACTTATTGGAAATGTATGCTGGTAGTGTTTGTGAAATAGTGATCTGTGCCCAGTTAATGAGATGCTCTTTTGAAACGTCCACTACTATTTTCATGTGGAAAAATGAGGGTCAGTGACAAGCTGAATTTGGCATTCAGCTAAATTTTAGTAAATTGGGTCAAGTTCAATAGGAGAAAGTAACAATTTTAAGTATTTGACGTTGAAGTAGGTGCAAATGTGAAGTTTCCAAAACCAAAGATATTATTTAGGATCCAAATGGGTTTCGTTATAGATTATTTGCAAGTTACCAGACAATTTCTGTGTTGATTTACTCAGGAGCTAATCAAGAGTTTTGAAGCGGATGTAAAACCTAAAATGGTGGTGCAAGGAAAGCTTCTTTTTATCTGAAAGGCAACTTCAAGCTCTCTGTTTCATGACTACTGGTAAGTGCTTTACGTGTGTATATAGCCAGGCATTTTTTAAACAAATGTGTGTGCTTTTGTGTAGGAAACTATAATGCTTCTGGATCGGCCATTTAATCTAAGTTAGCACATCTCTGACCTCATACCCTGACATCCTAGGTTCTTTTATTTCAGTTTTCCTAATGCTACAAGTGCTTTTCAGAAAATTATTGCTGAAAGTTACTGTCAGGATAACTGGAAACCAATCGTTTTCTAATGATGGTACATGCCTGATGACTTCCTGACAAAACCCTAGATACTGAATTTGGAGTTTTGAGGGAAAAAAAAAAAAAAAAAAAAAAAGACAAACCACCAGTATGTTTTTAATTGTGGCCTGAATTCCGAGAAGAGATGCCTGCCTTATGTGAGCTCCAGTCACTGCCTGCATGGGTTTTATTCTACATAGTTATAGTATATTTGATAGTGGTTGCAGTGTGGCCATTGAAATGGCATGCTCAGTATGGGCTTCATAAGATTTTCAGGAACCTAATGCCTCATGAATTAGCTAGTCCAGTTCCCGGATATTGCCTTTACTTCCATGTCTTTGTGCTTACGGCTTACGCTGCCGTCAATATCTGAATTTTAATCTGAAATAACAAGTCCGAAAGCTACAAACTGCCTCAGTTAATCTTGGTAATGACTGATTTTGAGGCTTATTCAGTATTAGTTTAAATGTCACTTTTGTGTTCAGTCATTTCAACTGAAATATTTATCACTTGCTGCAGTGGTAAATACAAGGATCATATTGGAATTGACTTCTTAATGAATGCAGTTTGACCTTTCTACAGAGAAAAACACAATTTTGGTACTTCCCTAAACTTCATTGCAAAGTCATTGAGCTGAACATTGAGCAGTTTTTTTATGAAAGGTGCAAAAGTCTTTTGCACTTTTTTTAATCCCTGATTTTAATAAGTTTATTGTTGAGCTGACTCAATACATATTAATACTCCAAATCAAAACTGTTTTAGTATACAAGAAAAAATATTGCCTGTTACTTTTTTTTTTCCCTGCTGAAAGGTAAAAGACATGCTTACAATAGAGTAGCATGAATACATTTTCTATAATTAACATAGACAGAGATTGGTTATAGATGCAGGGCCATGCCTGTATGCTTCTCCCTCCTTGAACTCTTTCTGTAGAGCAAAGATGATCAAGAATCACCTCTCTTGATTTCCCTTTTCCTTAGGTTGTTTCCTCATCAGTATTTGCTCAAAATGGAGAGCTTTCCAGTCCTGAAATCAAATTGCCTGCAAAATGCTAAAACCTCTAAAGTTATCTTTACTTATGCTAATATGTACCTCACATTCTTAATTTCATATTGCCATTATAAAAACACTTTGGTGTCCTGAAGTGAGGAAAATGTGTCAGACAAGAGAAGGAATTCAGATTTAAAATTAAAGGTCTGGTTCAAATTTTATATTACTGTGGATTTGCACTAGCAATCTGAATTCAATTTAAAAAAAATACAAAAAGTATTATGGATTTTCATACTGAATTCAGTGCAAATCCTCATTTTTATTTTGCTCATAGTTGCAGTGACATTTCTATTTATAACAGAGTCCACAAACAGGTAACCCCAGGAAACAAGAGTGCTTGCTCCAGCACTGAGACTGTCACATGGTACAGGAGACTATGATAAAAGTAAAAACTAATTTACACTCATGTAAATTTGAAATTAATTCACTGAAATTTCTGGAGTTATTCCAGAAATACCTCAGGGGAAGTGGAATCAAAGTTGATGAGTTGAGGGTGTAATATGTAATAATATCAATATTTACTCAGTTTTATCAGCTTCTAAATGATAGAAAAAGAGAGTTAATACGGATTCCATGTGTCCTGAAACTGAGAGATCTAACTGATTTTTTTTTTTTTTGGCTTGCTAATTGTTTTCACAAAGCAGCAGTGAGTGCTTAAACTTTATATAAATAGGCCAGAGCTAGACTGGCAAAAAAGATTCGTGATTCAGTGGAAGGCTTTAGCATTAAGAAAGCAAGGAAGAAAAAGAAGTTCCATAGTTCTATGTCCTGTTTTTTTTTCCTGTTTTTTTTTCCTACATAGGCCAATAAGCAGGTCACTTAAAGTGATATATGGATTTAAATTAATTCATGTGGCAATATTCAGGGAAGCAATTAATTTCAAAAAATAGTGTAGGAATCAGAAGAGATCAAGTAATCAAGTGTTCTTAAACTTTCAGCAAGTTGAACTAGAACTCTCTCTCATTGTTAATGTTTGCATTACCAATTGCTATGGAAAAATCCAAATATCCATCTTGACTTCATCTTTGCAAGCAAAGCAAAAATGCTTTTCCAAATCATTTTTCAATTATATGCTAAATATATTTATATAAATATGCTTTTATATCCTTTATATAAATATAAAGGATATTATCTGTCAGTATTTGTACGTCTTCCAGCTATAAACTCAGAAAATACTGCTCTTTTCTTTTGTCAAGTGACATTCACTAATCATAATTTTTTTCATATTTTATTTCTGTGGCATAGGATTTTATTAGTTCTTAGTTATTAGTGAAAACAGAAGTACAGAAAAGATGTTCAACTTGTATTTAAGGCTGCACAGCTAATAGGAATTCTTAAGGCTTCTTGTTTTGGTCAGAACAGTCACAGAACACTTCCATAAAATCTCTTATACAGATCATATGCACAGTGCAACACAGCAGCATTTCTGGAAAATTGGAATCTTCCTGATTGCGGCCATTCTTCTTGTCCTGAAACGCAACAGCCTGAGGAACATCACATGACTGGTCAACAGAATAAAGGAACCATCAAGATGGGATTTGGCCCTATTGACAATTTGTTAAAGAAGAGGAAAAAAAGATTTAAAATATATTTCAAATGGATTGAATTTGGGAGAAAAACATGCTTTGCAATTTAAAGGCTTTCTGCTCTTTTTGAAAAGAGATGATTTCAGTGCAGTGAAACATCAGGAAGGGGGGTCACCAAAAGTACTTGTTTTGCACATATTTTGCTCTTGTTATTGGACTTGTTTTTGTGAAAATTCTAGCCTTAAGACTATTGTGATTCTTCAGTTGGCAGCTGAATGCTTTTTTTTGGTGAATTATTTGTAAGTAATGTTGATAGAATTTCTGGCTCTCACATAAATTGCTTGTATATATGGTACCTATTCTATTCTGCTTTCTATACATTTTTTTTCTTTCTTTCTGTTTGAAGGCTGGTGACTGATATATAGCTTTGAGCTTGAATTCAGCGAAGGGTTAAGAGAAATGGACTGGAGATTTTGAGCTAGCTATGTTGCTTTGAGCCTAAGACACAGCAGAGAGGAGAAATGAGGCAGGGATAAAGCTTTGATACTATCTGGTGGACTTTTCTTTCTTCTCTGTTCCTCCCTTTCTTTTGTGTTTCACAGAATAATGACAGCTAGAACTTCAAGCCTAAAAGTGTTCTGCATTCTGTCAAGCAACTCTTAACATGCCTGTTCCTCCATAGCCTCAATGTCTTTCTCATAATATGTGCTCAACTGAGAACTAAACGATTTGTCTAATTATCAAACCTGTAAAATGACCTTTTGGTAGATTCTTAGATTCAAGTTGTCATGTGTCCCCACTTCCTTTCCTGTCCTATTGCCCTTGACTCATGAATCATTACCAGTAATAAAGATACTACAGGTGAAATTCTTCCTGCTGTGAGGTTTCTGAAGGGTATATTGAAAGTAGACCTTTCAATTTTGAATATAATGTTGATGAAGTCTATATTTAAAGTTGCTACTCAACTTCTATTGTAAATCTCTTTTTCTATATTTGTATGGAACTTTATCAAAAAATCCCTCAAGATTTGAACCTTTATTGATGTCAACTCAGATGATTTTTAATCACTAAATTCTAAAAAAAAAAGTAATCACTTAATTTTCTTTCTTTTTTTTCCCGAGAACTTTTGGAAGCATATTTATTATTTCACTGAATGTAAGCATGTCAAACACAATAGACTCTAGCTCTATGAAGTGCTGATCAGTGCACATTATATACTAAGCTGTTTTACTGAAAATAAAACCCCACCAGCTTTTAAATATTTTGGTGTTTTTTGCCTCCCTGTTTTCATGAGACCAGAAATTATTTCAGGACTTCAGATATCCAGGACAAGGGAAAAAGAAGTGGTGATAAAACGATAAGTCATAAAATGTCAGAAAATGCGAGAAAGAGGAGTAGTAAGGGAGTATTAGCATACAAACAGAAGGAAAATAGACACAATTTGGGGGAATGGAAGGAGTATGCTAGTGGAGCAAACTAGATAAATATTATGGTATATATTGTACATAACTTTTACTAAAAATACCAAAAATACTCATGCAATATTTAAAACATTTGTGAGGTTTTTAAAATTAACTACTTATGATTCTTGTCTTCTAATTATTTTGTTGCTTTTTTTTTTTTTTTTTTCCCCCTGAGGAAAACCCTCCTAAAGATGACAATAACTACCCTTTGTGAGAAAAAAAGTAACTGAGATTGGGGTTGCTGATACTGTTGTTAGTCTCTGACTGGTTCCCTGAGAAAAAAAAAAATGACAGATGCACATAAAGGAAAATGAAAAGAACTTCAAACACAGGAGAGGCACCTTCTGTTTAGCATGCTGATTTTTATTTGCAACTGTGCTCCTGGGGAAAGACAAAGTACAGTTTTTTTTTTTTTATCATCTGTTCAAGACGTGACATATTTGTAGCAGTATCACACTTTTAGCTACTTTTTCAGTTACAGGAGCATGCTAGGTATTACAGAAGAAACAGCTAAAGTGGATATTAATTAGAAAGCAGAAGAAAGAAAAATAAAAGTAATAAACTAAAAGTAAGAAAAGCTATTGAAAAATAAAAGTAAATGTGGGGAATGGGAAATAATGCATAATGTGAAAGTGGAAGCACAAGTCTCTCCGTCCAAATGAATTTCAAGACTTAGTCAGAATATTGAAAAGAGTAGAACCCTCTTTCCAAAGTAACTTAATAGAAGAAATAGTTTATATACATACTATGGTGAAACAAATTGAGTAGAGTTCTCTTGTTCATGCAAAAGAAAGTAAATGAATATTACACCATGAATGTTTTCTATAGGAACAGAAACTGATTCCAATCTTTGGAACTGGTGACCTGAGTATTTTCTGATAGCATGGCAAGATTATAGTACTAGTGTATTTCAGTAAGACGACATCCCTGAATAGCCTGTATAGTTCTTTGCATCCTTTTCTTGATAGTTGCTCTTAATATTTGCTCTAGTTACAGTTAGAAAGCTATCGATATGGAAGTGGCTCATCGTTGGCTGATCATTTATAGGAAGGAACCTGAAAATGCAGTGTAAGAGATTATTTGGATTCAGGGATTATGTCGGTCAACAGTCTTTGTACGTAATGTTCAAAAATATTTTTGAAATTGCCAAGAAGTTGCTTGCGTTTTGTCTCTTAAATGCATAAATTAAATTCTGTCACTAGACTTTGATAACATGATCTAGTAAAATCATTACAGAGGAAAATCTATTTGCTCTGAATGAACTAAATCAAATATTCTTCTCGTTAAATCTTTCAATCCTAAGTGTTGGCATAAACAATGAGGATGACGTTCTCTAGCAATAAGGCAATGAAATTTGCATTGGGAATTGGCCCTGTTATTGGAGAGAGAATTTGTGAGAGCTTCTGTAAGCCTTTCAATCCACCTACCTAGTAATGTTCAGTATAGTAGAGACAATGACTATTTCACCACTATCTTTTTTTCTATTTGAAGGTTAACATTTAGGAGTTAGGTCAGGGACCCACAAAGAGACACACACAAGCAACAAACAGATTTTAAGTCAGTCCAGTTTTCTATACCTTTGAATGCTGAAGGAAGAATCCAATAAATGTTGAAATGGGAACAGTTACCTGATGGAAGAGAAAATTAGAAGACCATCTTCACGAACTGTGAAAGACCACTGTGGTCTATCTCTACAGTCTTTAGGAAGAGAAAAACAGACAATGGAAAAAAGATGGAACAAAACTACAGTTTCTGTATTTCACACATCTGATCAGAAATGTTAGACCAAGTAAGTGTAAAAACACTGCTTATATTTTGTTTGAGGATGGAGACACATGTCCTCTTTACACCTCTTTCCTCATGCATTTTGTTCAGAGAAGATCTAGATTCATCCTTGCTATAACTACACATTTAATGTAGCTGTCTAGGACATGAACTATTTATGTATGCATTAGCTAGGTCAGATCCAAGGGTGAAATCTGCTCTAGATGACCATCTTCAGGCTCTCAACTCATTTACATCAAATAACCATCTAAAATTATCCAGGATGGACCTAGAACATACAGCTTGGTAGCTACACTGAGTGTTCAATGAGAAATACCTGATTCTTTACCGGTGGCAGTAAGTTGAGCAATCTACACACTTTTGGTTGAAATGAAGTTCAGCTTGTTTTAGAAAAGAAAGCTAGTATTTGGCAAGTCAGTGATAACTTGATCTTCTTTACTATGCTGACTTATTTTTCTGACACAGAAGAAGATCCAGTCTGAACAAGAGGAAAACTCAACTCAACTCTGTTTTTTTTTTTAACTTATACACGCAACTATGTATGTGTGCAATATGAGATCAGAGAGAAAGCAAATAATATGAGACTCACTGTAGGGAGAAACCCAGCAGCAATGTCCGTGGCCAGGGAAATGACATTGTCAAGTGATAAAGGCATACATCAAAATAAAAAATGTTGTGTTTTGCTCGTTACCTGGTGGGTAGCATGTCGGCTTCTTTGTCAACTTGCCTCACTCCATAGAGCACTGGGCAGTTTCTCGGCACCCTGCTGAGCACAAATAATCCTGCCTAAACCGAAAGGACTGGTCAGTGCCTGTTATCCTCCACCCCATCCCAGCTGATTTATGATGTATGTGCAAGAAAGAAAGCAGGAAAACAGGTTGAAACTTAGGAAACAGGAGAGGAATCCACTCTAAGTATAAATCAAAACATGATGCTGTCTGTTTCCTGGATATGAAAGATACTCTATTTTTTTTTTCAATTGTAGAGTATTAATAGTATGTGTTGGATGATAGGATTTGCAGTTTCAATCTCTCTTTTACTTTCTGCTTTTCCTTACTAGCTATTCCAAGCTTTCCTTGAAGTTATTGTGCTTTATCTCAAAAAATGTAATTGCCTAATCTCAAAAATGCTTAACCTCAAGTACTGGCGATTTTGTTAATTTCTTCTGAAATATTTTGACAGTCCTTTTTGTATGTATTAATTCTGCTTGCTTTTTGTCCTTCTTCAGTTATTAGATACTTGATATGCAGCTAGATTCTAATGCATCAGATTTTCTGAGTTGCATGGAATAAGAAATCCGAGGAAACCCAAGTTTACTCTTTTTATTGTCAGTGACCAGCTATGTGAAATGATAATAATTCATAGCTCTCTTTTTCTGTCCAAAGAACTAATGTAAGAACTCAGTTGCAATACAGAATGCACGTAGCCAGTATGTGCTACCTGATACTATTTCTAATATTTCATTCAAACACACACAAAAAAAGAATATTTACTTATTAGTCATCTCCATCTCCATCATGGGTTCCCTCTCTTTTTCCTCTCAAGACTGAAGTCTATCTGGACACATCTGATCCAGTTTGCAATTGCAGGTCCTCTTAGAAGTGAAAATGCTTCTCTTACTCATGAACAGGAGAGGTCTTTAAGGGTAACAGGCAAGGTCTTTGTTAAGAGACCTAACTTTTAGGCTCCTAGAAAGAGAACTTCAGCTTTCATCTTTATTTTCTACTCCCCCCCACGCCTTTTGGGGTTTTTTTGGCACAGAACTGGGTTGACTGCTTTCGTTGTGAAGTTGTCCTTGATTAAAAATTATTACAAAAGAAACAAGCAGCAAGGCTCTGTCTTTAATGAAAGCCTGTAGCAGAAGACTGTGGAACATATCATGGTACTCTCCTTGTATATATTGACTCAGCTGAGGTGGTGATGAAGTGGAAACAATCTTGTGGTGAGTGTGCTCTGACTGCTCATCTTGGCACCACATCCTGGTGCTGGAACAGTTGGAGGAAAAGAAGAGTCAATGATTTTCAGATTGTTCTGAGTCTGATTCACTTGTTGCAGGCAAGTTAAGTGACACGGTCTATTCTGCTCTGGCTTAAAAGAAATAGTGGGAAGAACCTTTGAGATGCTTTATCAGAGCAAAAGCAATATTCTGTAACAATCACTGGGCAATATCTCTTATATGCCTGCAACAAACAGGGATGAACTTCAACAAAACAGGGAACACTCTTTTGCTTCTGGAGCAGCAGAAGCTCCATTCCTCCACAAACTCTTAGCCCTCAACAGAGGAAGTCCATTTGTTGTGATCAGCTAGTTTGTAGTCAGCAGCTGTAATCTAATACTAGTACTAGGTATAAATGTCAGGTAGGAGACCTAAAGACAGAGAACCTGAAGAAAAAATAATGTAAACATTCAGATTTCTTTTACAAAATAATTCTGCTTTATCTAGTACTGCCTTATTTTACATTGCCAGCTGAGGTAGAAAGTATTGAAAAGAGTCTGTTCCTTTTTTGATATCCCTAGCTCTCACTGCTTGTTTTTGCTTTGATATTCCATCTCTACAGCATTGTGAGCACTTCCTAGCTTCTGTTCTCACTGTCAGTCTTTTTTTCCTTTCTCCTTCAAAACATCGACACTTTGAGAGCATGGGCAGATGTTAGGTTGCTACAGA